TTTTTTTTTTTTTTTTTTTTTTTTTTTTGGTTTTTACTATAGATAAATTCAAACTATTTCAGTTAGTGTTCTTAAAATTCTCTTATCTCCCAATTTTCCAGTTATATTTTTCTACATTTCATTTTTCTTAATTTTAGTTACTCTACTGTATAACAATTTGTCCATTTTACTAAAATAGAATTCGTTAAAACAGTTCTGTTGTATTTTTTGGTGTTGTGTTTGCAGATGGTGGAAAGTCATACATCATAGTTTTCGTCGTCAGTTAAAACGAGGCAGGAAACAAACAATCCTTTAGATGGAACTTTATTAGCTTTGATACTTGATTAGGAACTATGCATGCCTAATTTCTCGTTCTAAAGCCGCACAGTAGAACGACCTCATCTATAGTCAGGCACATTATCCTGATTAAAGCGACGAGAATTGCGTGTGCACTGTGTTTACCACTTTCATATTTTAATATTCCACCTTTATCGAATTGGTTGCTTCATTAAAATATTTCATAAGAAAAGAAAGCTAAAATCAAAAAACTGTCAGCTGAACACAATGTGATATTCGAGGCAGAAAATTCAATAATACTACTGCATATTCTTTTATTATTCCTTTGAATAAGTTATTATATGAATTAATTTGAAACTTACAAATTCATTTTATCAGCAGAGTTGTTGACATACACATATACATATATGTATGTGCATTCTCTATATATTACATTTGCGTTTCACATATGATATAATCATAAACAAAATAATAGATTTTACTATTGCAATTATTGAGAATGTATATTATACAAAAATAATAATACAATATGATTTATATGAATTCTGAGAAACAGGTGAATGGGGGGAACAAAAAACTTTAGCTATTTCCCAGAATTTCGTGGGTAAAGAAAACCAGGTATGCCTTTAAAATGACGAAATAATTATAAAAGACGAAATTAATTGTAAACCTTATACACAGGTATTATGGAATCTCTGTCCGTTTCTGCGCATTTTTAAATAAGTCTTTCCGCTTTAATACAACTAAAATATTCCATTTTAATTCAATTTTACTCTATGTCCAATACTTCGCTTCGAAATTGGATTTTCTTTCCCTTCGTTTTTCTTTTCCCTCTCCTTTCTTTTTTCGTTTGAAATTTTATTTCAAACATTTCAGTTAATTGAAACACCAATTATATTATCCACCCATGTTATTAAGATTATTTTAATCGCTATAAAAGTGAGATACTACTGGATTATTCAACTTCCCAACGATATTGCCTCCTTTGTCCTGTCTTTCCAAAAAATAGCAGTCCCTGAAATTGACACGACTTAAAAGATATTTATATATTTATCTTTTATACAATTTATTTCTCTAATTTAACTAGACAAAATTTTGTTTAATTATATTGCATTATTAGAATTAACTTAATTTTTATGCAAACGAGCAAAATTGCCTTAATTCTTGAAATTGAAAAATTAAATTCACTTCAAACTTATGTATTTTTCGTACAATTTTTCTATACTTTCTTCTCATTTTCGTAAATTGCGTTGTTCAGTAAAAAATATTAACATTAAGTGCAATTAATGTTTTGAAAGCTGCTTAAATGTTTTGTTCAGTTTGTTCGAAATTTTTGTTATTTATTTGTAATTACTTTTTATATAAGAAATATCTTCGTTGTTTTTATGTTATTTAAAAAAATCTATCGATTTTTTTCTAGCACAAACACGCAGCTATAACCGGAGATATTATCAAATAAATAAAACACACACTTCTATTCACACTGACAGAAGCAGCGTCGTGGTCAGATGTAAATAGCTCTGTCAAAGCTCTGTCAAAGCTCTGTCAAAGCTCTGTACAAAACCGGAAGAATGAGGAAAATGGATATTTCAGGATTCGGAATCGTGAGAGAAGCTTCAAAATGAGCCTCTTGTCTATCGATATTCGATTATTATGCGAACTTTGTGCGTTTATCACGTACATGCAGGAAAACATTCGGGAAACAAGGAATAACAGACTCAATTTTACGGTTGGGAAACAAGCTAAAAGCTTTCACATAAATTGAGACTTTCATCCTTCATCGTTAGATTATGTATCCCCTACGATTCGAGGGTAAAATTTCTCTAACTCGCTGCTTGTTTGAAGTTCATGAGCTAACAGATTATTTTGAGTTCCTTTGATTCTATCTGAAAAAAAAAAGGAAAATTTTCTCGCTTCTTCAGATATTTTTTACATGTTAGTATTTTAAATATTCATTTTGAACATTAATCAGTATAGCTTCAATGAATTAAAGTCTCTGATTTGGACATAAAATTTTGAAAACGCGCCTCTTTCAAAACTCAACATAGTTATTTATACTTAATTAACCTAATTTCTAATTATCGAGAATTCAGCGATATAATTTTGATTTCATTTTTCCGTTCACCTTTTCTACAATTCTTCTAATTTAACAATTTTTATTTTTTCTTGAAAATTTTTGAATTTGTTAGCAAAAATTGCGAAAGAATCCGTTCGAGGAAGTTAGCTAGGATCTTGTCAACTTCGTCGTTATGGTCAATTTTTTCTGTCCAGTTTCAAAGCTCGTTTCAGTTTCCATCAGGCATCATATGACGTTCGGTACTTGAGTCATCGTATTGAGACAGAAACGCGCCTTTGTTGACCCTTGGGGGCATTAATTAAAGAGATGACACATGGTGGAGTAAACCAATTAATAGCAAGCGATGGCGTAGCATCGGTACCACTCTACTTTCGCCCTATTTCTCCTCGAACGTGTTGTATTAGTTCCTATGTGCCATCGATCTCGTAAAACGGCTTCGATGTCGCCACATCATTAAAGTGTCAATTAATTGACCTTTCCAGTTTACCTGGCCAAGGGATACACGCGAAAGTTCTGAATTTCCTCATTGACTTCTTGCAAATCATTCCAGGTATTGAGACGTTTCACACGTTTAAGCATTTATTATTCCCCTGATATTTATCATTGAACCTATTACGAGCTAAACGAACGTTTATAATCTCTTGATTAGGAATACAATCCTTACATTTTGGACATTTACTAATTTCACGATATTCTGATATTCTTACTACTT